CCACTCCAAAACTGAATCAAAAAACAAACTCGCGCACACGACTAAAGCCGTATACCGTTCCTGATTGGGCTCGAACAGAGACTACTACGCAGCCTAAGTTATCGGAGGAGGCCCAGTTAATGCTGAAAGAAGCCGAACAACGCAAGGCCGACTCAAAGCTGGCAAAGAGGATGAAATACTTGCAACAGAAGAAGGCGGGACCGATGCAGAGGACCAATAGTACACCGGCGTTATTTTCGACGACCGCTGATGAGCCTGTTGCGTCTAGCTCTACCCTTTCTCCCGCCCCCGTAAAACCTCTATGGCAGCACCACCCCCGCCTTCTGCTCTTGGCCCCCATTACTCCCAGTTTTCGCTGCCCCCGACACTTCTATACTTCTTCCAGACTCTTCTCCTTCACGCTCTCCTTCCCCGAAACTCGTTACACACCTTGTTCCTCCATGCACGCCTCCACGTAAGCGCACTCTCCCAGCGAGTTCGTCTCCTGAAGATGAAGAGGAGTTTTCATTATTTACCCCTCGTGTAATGGATACACCTGGCCCACGCAGAGGCCCTTCGTTATTCGACAGCCCATCTCTTAGATTTCCTAGCATGCGAGCTATCCACCAGCGCGAGGTCACTCCTCCACCATCCAGCGAAACCGTTGGGGAGGGTGACGACTCAGATGGCGAAAACTTGCTTGAACAAGAGTTGAACAGCGTGCTCACAGAAACCGTATCTCCGAGCGATACCTCGCTTGAAGCATTCAAGCCTGGGACAGACCCACAGAGTGACCCAGATGACGACGAGGAAGACGATTCTGACAAGCCTTTCTGGCCTGGCCTACCTCCGTCATCTCCGCTACCTCAAAGTAGCCCCCTCCTTCAGCCGATCGCTGATGATATACCTGACGACGACGATTTCGAACTCCCTATGGCTTCTTCGGATCTCGATGCTGGTGATGCCCAAACCAAATCTCATGGCGGTGACGGCGACGATGAAGCACCACCCCCTGAGGAGGAGGCTCTATTCGACGAATCTGCCCTCGCCGTCCTCCTAGAAATCTTAACGAACGCCAACGACACTCAGTTTACGTCTACTTCTAACTCAGAGCCTTCATCCGCAGACGACATTCTGAAGGAACTAGGGGCCGTCCCTGATGAATTGGCGCAGGACCAACAGTTGGATCCTGGCCTTCTCCCTTCCGATATTAATTTTGACCCCTTTTGGAATGCCATAGGACCCTTGCTCGAGCAGAATGCGAGTAACAATGGCATCGAGGAACCGGATCCGATAAAGGCTCTCCTGAGTGGGTGTGTTCTCTGAACACTGCTGCTTTCGCCATGTTACATTTGAGATGATTTTGAACTTTTTTGTTTTGCAAATTTAGCTATTATAATGTTTGTATTACCACTACACACGAGCTTTCGATAGGATAAGAATGTTGAAATCAAAGCATGTAAACCATTATTTATCACCCTTGAACCTTGTCAAGAAGTATCCAGCAAGAACCGCCACATCCCAAAGAGAAAATTAGCCAAAAAACCTGCAACTAGCCCAAATTGTATTGTTCGCCTGCAAGAACGTCAGATCGCGACTATGAAACAAAAAGGAAATTCATACGAAAATACAACACTATCAGTACCTCGGTGTTCTGTCCCGTCTTCCCAAAATATTGGCTGAGAAGGTTTGTTGCCGCTGATGAACGCAGGTATGAAAGGAAAGAAGAAACCGATGATGATGCCAATCATCGCCGGAGAATTAGAGTTGGAAGAATTGGACAAGGACACGTCGTTATTGTCCAAGCTATCTATCCATTGCTCCTCTAACGCACGAGCATGTTCGTCGTCTACAGGGGGGTGGTCAACGATAGAAACAAAACGTAGGACGTGTGCTCTCACAATCTTCATCCAGATCAAACTCTCGGTCATCCAAAAAGTTGGATGTTGACTGGCTATGGAACTGGCGTCGAATGCCGGCTATTTCTTCTTCTGAGAAACCCAAAGAGGCAAGTCTATCGAATCCTCTTGCAGGTTGGATTTGAGATACCTGAAGACCTAGTAAGGCATCGAGGGGAGGTCTAACCAACGGTATTACGCACTTGCTCTTTCGCCTCATCATTCTCTAATTCACTGGGCTCGAGCTTTTGTCCTACAGAACAATGTACCCAGACAGCGGAGGCCGGAGAACCAGCTGCTTCCTGCCGTTCGTCGAGAGATTTCAGCCAGGAGAATACTTTGATTCCATCGGTGAGTAGCCTTCCTGAATGTCTATGAAATGAAATTCTTGAGTTAAGCCAAGAGGCAGGAAATTAGCTAGTCCGTACATAAGCCGTAGTCTTCGGTCATTGAATTCTGGTCTTTCGAGTCGGACCTGAAGGTTCAGAGTATCAGCTAAGTTACGCAGAGTCATTGATACTTACATATCTCTTTACATCTCGGATAGCATCTTCCTGGTTGACAGTGATCTCCAAGTCGGGTGCGTCCTCGGTGAAACGAATGGTGAAGCTTCGGGTGCTTGATGGAATAACAGTAGCTGTAGCGTCTGAATATCCGTCTAGTGGAGGATCGACAGCCTTTTGCTTCCCTTTAGCCTTTTCACTAAGCATTCTTCGACGTAGTAGATGAAGACTAAGAGTGCGCGCTAATGCGGATGGGCGGCTCGGTCAAAGCGTGCCGATAAACAGCCTCTGCGGCGTATATTCGATGATTGAAGTTTACTGGAGACATGCTACGCTCATGTGGTGTTTCTAGCCTGCAAGCGCTGGTATCGCTTTGAAAAGGTGTACTTGTTGTTCTCGTGTTGCTCGTTGTCAGTAATACCCCTCGTGTGCTTTCATTCGACGCGCCCCAGAACGGTAATATTCTTGTATACTAGGTAGCTCTGAATAACAGGAAAAAAGGACTGGAAGCTTCGCCAAATGGCTTTTGTGTCCTCGCCTCCAAGTCAAACAGAATCGCGGTCACTTCTTGTACACAGCCAATTTTGGTACGTTGGGAATGACCGCATATAATGAGCTCGGGCAGGTGATATTCTCCATTCTGTATCTTGATACCATAATATCAGAGTGCACGCAAGCCTCGTTGTAATGAGAACAGAATCTTGGAAACGGTAAACTGATAAGAAATTCTGAAGCTGCACATAGTACGAAATAAGATTTCAGTGAGCGGTAGGTTTATTTCTGATCATCCTCCCACAAAATTACGAGTCTCATACCATCCTTCTCGATATGGTCCAAGACATCGTAAACATCCAGAGCCTTTTTTCTACACCGATATGTCATAGTAAATGACCGCAAACAGTCAACTTCCCGACTCGAAACGAAATCTGATGTCCAGCGAGACTTGATCATATCAACAACTGCTTGGTCGTTGAAGACATCTCCGCTGTAAGTTAATTTAAGGGAGCGCAACCTCGGGAGGAGGGGTCTATTCAGCGAGCTATCTTGATATCGATATGCATGCAGGCTTTCTATCAGTCCTGCTGTGATAGGACTTTCTTCAGGAGGGACATTGGTGTCGATGAGAGTGAAATCCAACAAGGTTGGGACGTGAGCTAACAGATAGACCATACTCGAATCGGGAATGTTGAGGCTTTCGATGAAGAGAGTTGTTAATGAGAAGGATGAATGCTGAACAAAGGCCATGAAATGGTTGAAGAATGCCCATGGGCCCGACGTAGGATGTGCATAATCTGGTTGGATTTTAAGAGATTTCAAGGCAGGGAGCTTGAAAAATGGGAACACCGGCGTTACAGTGAGGTTACCCGTGTCAAAAAGACGAATTGTTAACCTCTCTAGGAGGTCGTATGCGGTGGGTAAGACTACGAGACCATCAAATGTCGCTCTCTTTATATAGATATCTGGGATATCCAACGCTATGAGATGGGTACTCCGAGCAAGCGTTCCCATGTCGGCGTCATCGATCACACGCACTCGAAGCCATGTCAACTGGCTGAGGGGGAACTCGGAAGGGAAGAACGCTGCACGCGCCATGAGGTTTAAGCATTTGAGGTTGGGATAGATACGAGTAAAGAAAACCCAATCTGTTTGGTTGCTATCGAAGATACGAAAGTTGACGAGTTGTGGAAATGTGGGATGGGGTATGGAGGAAAGGGCTGTGAGCAATATCTTGAGATCTCCAGGCCGGTTATTCCAGAAGGTGAGATAACGCCAGCGAAGATGTTGGTTAATCAATATAGACAGGGGCCTACACGTTAACTCTGCAGGAGGAATGACGGCTTTGTTCATGTCGATAATGATGGTGAGTGGGTGTTGTTTAGAACGTTCAACAAATAATGTCAAGGTTTTAGCAGGACGTTCGTAGTAGGACTGATCAGTTGTCAATGAACCGTCTTGAGCCTGAGTCATTTTGAACGCGATTCTTGCCCAGATCTGCGGCAATGAAAGCCCAAACCTCCGCCAACGTGAGCATACACTACTGAGGACCAGTGCAGGCTTGGTCTTCAAACGTCCGACAGGATCCACCGGCGGATCGACACCAATCGATTTGAACTGATTCATGTCACAGCATTGGTCGAAAACGTATCCCAAAATCTCGCCAGGAAGTTTTCGAATGGGAGCAAGTAGATATTTCACTTGTTCCATGATTTTACGAGTACGCTCCTGCTCCGCAATCAAGACCATTCGACGCGATTCAAGACGATGAATTTCCCTGTCATAATCATCCAAGTCGCGTTGCGCATTTTGAAGAATGGACATGATTTCATCAGGCTGGACTGATGTAGGGCCAGAGTCAAAACGGAGTTTTTCGCGAATGGACGAGAGATCTATGTTTAGTCGAGGAGCAAAGATGTTTTGTTTGCAGTTTGAACAAAACTGCATGATCGTAGAAAAGGTGTGTGTGTCATAAGCGTTCATTTGATTCAAAGTACGAGGCCTACATGTATATTAAGAGGTTTCGACCAACACATGAAAAGTATATTCTCATAAAGTATATGTACTCCATCCAGGGTTGAGAACGTTCAGTTAGCAAAAACAAAGGTGAATCAAAAACATTATATAGCAGCAACTCGTTTCGATCGAGTGACCTCGGGGTACACACCATAATATGGGCCCCGCGCGCTACCACTGCGCCATGCTGCTTTCAAATGTTTCCAGGGATCTAGAGTCACAACCCTTGAGGAACTAGAGTATACCCGTGAACTACGCTTGTCAAACCCATACCTCTCACTGCTCCTGTCAAGCACCTTCTACGACACCTGGACCAACGTGCACTGTCACTGTAGGCCTGCTGCACGCTTACCACGCGATCACGCCCATATCACGTTCCTGCTGGCTTCTGCTATTTTCACATGTCTATTCTCGCGCGTACGTACTCAATCATCCTTCTTGGTACTTCATCTCTCTTTCGCATTCTCACCTCCTTTATATTTTGTGTCGCATAATAAGACTCTGTGTACGTTCTGATAGTGTGATAGTGTTCCTTGAATGTTCCTTTTTCTTCCTAGTGTTGCTTGTTGTCGCTCTCGACAACAAGCTTCCGCCAAATTAGAAATGGTCACAAGATCGACGGGTGCTTGAGATGGCATAGGATGTTTTGTGTCCTATATAAGACTCTACCTAGCGTCTCAAGAAGGCTTCTCCAGTCATGAAGGTCAAAATCTGTACGTAGATGTTGTTGGGACGTTTCGCTACTTTACATACAAGATACTTTACTTATATACTGAGCATGTGAGTTCTAGACCTAATTGAACTTTTGCTTTCCTTCCCCCATCGTTCACTTTGTTTGTTCGATCAGCCAACCGTGCTTGTCGAAACTCGCAATGTCACTGTCTCTGGAAAAACATTACAAATTTCGAAAAAAACTTGCTCCGCCGATATCCTAGCCTCTCACTCTCCCTAGAAGAGACAGGAAGTCTTCGATTCTTGCGATGGCGGTATGTTTGATGCCGGTGGCCATGCGATGCTGAAGACTGACGAGCAAGCACTACATTATTATTAGAAAGTGCATCATTGGTATGCGTGGATGACCCAGGTCTCACAGCGCCGGTTATGGGTGACTGTGCTCAGCTCGCGACTTCTCTTGTACTTCTCAACGGTAATTGTTTATTTTTCCCTCCTCGTCATTCATGCTTCCTAAATTTGATTATTCAGAACCCGAATTTTTTGAGGTAGCACCCGGGTTTGCCGAAACGCTCACCTTTGGGACATGCGAGTGGATATTGATCAATAACAACCCTGTAGATGGGTTCACGTTGGAGTACTGCTTCCCAGGCCTGGCGTGTGCCTTTCTCAGTGCTCCTTTGTCCAAGACATAACGCATATATTAGGAGCAGCTTGGCGAATGCCTCTTGGCTTGTACCCAAGCTGGACCCGGTACCACTGGCGCTTTCGCAACCCCAAGCGACTTTGGAGCTACCCCCGCTGACACCTGGACCTTTGAGTTCGTTTTTTGCTCTCATGAAAAATATCTGACTGATATTTGGCTCAAATATAGACTTCTCCGCTCTTATCCCTCTCGTTTTTCATCTGTTGTTTTCAGTATATTCGGTGTTGCCTATAAGAATGATATTTGACGACACTTACCAATGCATAAATGTGTACTTTTGCGTATCAAAATTCGTGTACTTAGGTCGATCACGGTTTCGGACATGACTGGGAAAACTTGGACTCACCATCGAACTCCATTTCATCAGACTTGTGTACTAAGTATCTCAGGCATCGCAAAGTATTTGGAATATTCAAGAACAACACCCCGAAGAAAATCAAATGGACGCCCGTTTCAGCCCGCTTCCCCTTGACCGAAGTCCGCTGGAAAGCTTTGGATCTATGTACTTAGCTCGCAATGAGTTTTTGAGCAGAGTTGGTCCTTCCTTGTAGATCGGTATTTTCGGTTCAAATTGCCGACCGGCCGAACTTGTCAAGCGAACTTCGATGACTCCGAAACATTGAGCGCTAATTTTTTACTACCTCACACAGAAAACCACAATGTCCTCCCTCGCTTCTCGTCCAGCTTCTCAAGCTCTGCGTAACGCAATTCGTCGTGCACCTCGCGTTGTCTCTGTCGCGACAAGGCCCCAAGCCGCGTCTTACTCTCTTTTGGCCACAGCTGCCGCTTCAAAATCCACACAGCGATCTTCCGTTCAAGTACGTATTGGCTTTTAAAAAAAATTTAACTTACAAGGAGTATCTCAATGTTCACGCGTATTTTTTTCCAAACATTAGGCATCCCGTGGAATCAAGACTTTGGACTTTGCTGGAACTAAGGAAGTCGTATATGAACGAAGTGACTGGCCGCTCGCAAAACTCCAGGATTACTTTAAAAATGACACTCTTGCTCTTATTGGATATGGCTCGCAAGGCCATGGTCAGGGCTTGAACGCTCGCGACAATGGCCTCAATGTCATCGTCGGTGTCCGAAAAGACGGAGAGAGCTGGAAGCAGGCTTTGGAAGATGGCTGGGTATGAGTCTTGCATTTTTTTCCTCTCATTTCTACAAAGTGACATTTTACTTTCATAGGTACCTGGAGAGACTCTTTTCCCTATTGAGGAAGCCATTAAGAAAGGAACAATCATCATGAACCTTCTTTCTGACGCTGCTCAGTCACAAACATGGCCTGAGGTAGCTCCTCTCATCACCAAGGGAAAAACTCTCTACTTCTCCCATGGTTTCTCTGTCGTCTACAAGGAAGACACTAAGGTTATTCCTCCTACTGATGTTGATGTCATCCTTGTTGCACCCAAAGGTTCTGGCCGTACCGTTCGTACCCTCTTCAAGGAGGGACGTGGAATCAACTCTTCCGTAGCTGTCTTCCAAGATGTGACCGGTCATGCCAAAGAGAAGGCTATCGCCCTTGGTGTTGGTATCGGTTCTGGATACATGTACGACACCACCTTTGAGAAAGAGGTTTACTCCGACTTGTACGGTGAACGTGGTGTGGTATGTATTTCTATTCTCTTTATAAATTCGTGATCTCATCGTACTATCTTGACAGCTCATGGGTGCTATCCGTAAGCCCTTCCATTTAGTTATTATGAGGAATTCTCATTAATGTTATTCCAGAGGGATTATTCCTTGCACAGTACCAAGTTCTCCGCAAGAATGGCCACAGCCCCTCGGAAGCCTTCAATGAAACAGTCGAGGAGGCTACTCAATCACTCTATCCTCTGATCGGTGCCAAGGGGTAAACGTTTTTCTCCATATAACTAAGAGGCGTGTCCTAATTTACGTCTACAGTATGGATTACATGTACAATGCATGCTCAACAACTGCTCGTCGCGGTGCTCTTGACTGGGCACCCATCTTCGAAAAGGCTAACGTGCCAATCTTCGAGCAGTTGTATCAGAGCGTGAGGGACGGAACTGAGACCCGCAAATCTCTTGAGTTCAATGGAAGGTCAACATACAGGCAAGATCTTGCCAAGGAGCTTGAGGTGATCAACAACCAGGAGATCTGGCGTGCAGGTGGGTGCTCTTTTCTTTCGCTCTTAGTCTTCACCATAACATCTTCATCTTTCCAGGCAAAGTTGTTCGGTCACTGCGTCCTGACTACAAGCCGGAATCGGAGTAGAGGGCTTTGTCTCGTTTGGATGGCGGACATGGAGCTGGCAATGGAATTAGAAGTACAGTTGTTTTGCTTTAGTATATGTATTCAAAAGAGTTCAGTTGGAGGATGGCCCATCAGTGTCGCTAATACTATGCAAAATTCCTTGTGCGAGATATTGTTGTAACTTATGCGCGGTGGAGCTCGCGGATTGGTACAGTTAACAATTGGTCTACGTACGCCAATACTGCTGCGTCAAATCATGTATACGATCCAACATAACCGTGAAATATGAAGTCTCATTAAGCAACATCTCAAAATGTTTGATTGCCTCCTCTTCTGTCAAATCCAACCTGAACTTCTCTTGAATCTGTTCATGCACATCTCGATGTTTATTGATATCTGGGATATTGGCATCCACCATGAGTGCGACCAAGTTGAGAATGAGGTTGGCGCTTTTGCGGAGGATAGTGAAAGCGGTGAAACAGAATGATTTGAACCGCATGTAGTGGGTTGATTGGGTTCCCCCCATGCCATCGACCATTTCTTTGCACACTTTGACTGCAGGAGGAAATGGCTTGGGATCGCGACCGAGGATGTAACCGAAATCGACATGGAAAAAGTGACCTAAAAGACGGTTGAACTCTCGATCGTCCAAGAAGAGTTTTAATATTTACCATCCGAGGCAACAAGCAGATTGTCCAAGTGTCGATCGCCCACACCAAGGAGATATGTCACAACACAGTAGCCAGCTAGGAAACAGCCATGCATCAGTTCTATGTTTTACAGATACAACGCATCCACACTACGTACCACAACTTCTCACAAACGTATCAATCACTCCAGGTTCAATCCCCCACGTCCCCACGCTTCCTTCATCTGGATTATTTGCCCTGAGAAAACTCTGTACATTCCCGAACTCGCTTACAATTGCCGCAATGGTCTTGCTCGGAACAAACTGCGCCATACCCTGCATCGGACCCGTGGCGAGCACCCCATAGGGTGTGAGCTTCAAATCCAAATTCTCTTGTCGCAATAGTCGGTCCATGAGGGTAAACATTTGCAGCACAAGCTGATCTTGTCGCATATCGTCGCCGTCTTTAAATATGACTGGATACTCGGACCCATCTGAGCATTGGAAACAGAGGAGGAGAGGATACATTGCTGATTTAAAGACGGAGGATTTTTCTGGGATGATACCGGTAATTTCGATTTGGGCATTCAGAGGAAGGGGGAGCGGAGCCATAGAGGAAAGGTTGTTCTTGGAATCAGCAAGAAATGCTTGAAGACGCTCCCTCTTCTTGATACTCGAGTCCTTTGACGTTCGCAACTCTCGAGCACGTTTAGCAAGCGTTTCAACCAGTTGACCTTGCCGACGCAGAAGCTCTCGTCTATCAGACCCATTTTCAACCTGCAATAAGAAATTAGATATACAGGGTAATCAAACACTTGAGGACTCACTTCAAGGATTTTATTCATAAATTTGAACACTACCCGACCGTACATCTTCGAGATGACCTTATCTTCGAGCGCAACCTCGACCATGAGGTACCAGTACAACCGGTTCCCGAGCCAGTTATTCTTCACTCCCCTTGAAATG